CACGCACACACACACGCAAACTCACAACACACGCACACACACACACACACACACAAACTCACAACACACACACACAACACACACACACACACACACACACACACCATCATCATCGCCTGTGATTTCTGCACACACACAAATTTATCAGCTTCATCATCATCGCCAGAAATTCAAACACACACAGACATGCATCTTCATCTTTATCATCATCATCATCGCCTGTGATTTCTGCGCACAGGTTTGTGTCGCCTTTAACTTTCATACTGTGATTTTTATTTTGTTTTTATCCAGTGAATTCTGTTCAATGATGCTGGCAGACAGTGTAGGGCAACTCTATTCATTTGTTGGTTAAATAATGAATAGAAATGACAAATACACTTCATTCATATTTCCTTGCATCAGGGTACGTTTGTAATTTGTAATGACTAGAATTCATTGCATTTCTTCAAACAAATCCATGATAAGCTGAATAACTCGGACTGGAGTTGAATGCAATGCTCCCAGAGGCGCGGTTTAAATAAAACATGCATTAAATATGTTCTAAAACTATGATTTGGATTTCTACACTCAATGAGCACAATTTAAAATAAGTTACCACAATTCTGCATGATGAAAATAATAAAAACACAAATCTGATTACTTTCACAGCAAAAATAACATTATTGAAATCAAGTATTTTTTCATCATAGTTGTACATTCGTTTTACTGCCTTAATTTATGCTGATTAGAATAATATCTATTTTAAAATGTATTATTATTATTATTATTATTATTTATTTAGTTTGTTTGTTTTTGTCCGGACAGGATTATCTTTAACACATAACAGTAATTTGAATCTAATCTAACAAACTCCAAAGTAAATTAGAAAAAAATGTGTTTAATTGTATAGAAAATGAGAGTTATTTTTTTGTATTATGTTAACATATTTCTGAAATATGAGCCAGACCGGTGAGTGTTTATCATCTCTTTTGCATTTGCTTAGAATACTGAACACTTAATACAGTTGTTTAAATAGAAAGAAAAAGCATTAACATCTTTCCAGTGTACAAGTGAATCACGTATTATCTGACACATAATACACATAATAATAATAGCAATAAAAAAATCAGGAAAATTAATATTTAACTGTATCGGTCATCATCCATAAATCTATTCATATCCATATGTCGTGCTAATTTAAAATATTAAAAATGAACCACAAACAAGTCATTCTTTTGGGAAATGAAGGCACAATTAAGCATCGTTACTAAGTGTTCCAGTCTCAGTGTTTTCTTCTCAACCCGTGAATAAGCGGAGCTCAAACTCAGTCAAACGAGGCTTTAACTGTTGATTTATTTCAGCGTGTAGCTCGGCATCAGACGAAAGCTCACTAGCATCACAGGCCATTCATCATGATCCAGTCATTTCTATCATCTCCCGCGTTCAGCTCGACCGGTGTTAATGTGAGATGCATGCACTCACCCGCCGTCAGCGCGAGCATCAGTAGAGTCGCACACCGCCGCATCCCGGAGCCGCTCAGCGCCGCGCCGACGCGTCCATCCCGCGAGCGACCGCCGCACGAGACGCTCACTTCATCACGCACGCGTTCCTCGCGGCTGCACGGCAGATAACAGCTGCTCTCCAGCGCTCCAGAGCCAACGCGGACTGCTGAGGCAGAGACACCAACATTTACATATTTGATTGCCCGTATCTTAATGGAAGATGTGTCATAATAGCAACACTGTGAATGCAAATTAAACAATTTCACTCAATATTCGTTTTTACTAAATAATAAACAAGAATGACAGGATTGGTATTGAATGTAAATAATAACACGAGCATCAACATGCCACTCGCGTCCCATCAAACTTATAAAAACTGTAACTTTTACTCCACAGATCTAGAAACATGACAGTGTCCACAAACAGACATCACTTTGATATTCAGCCTGGTACAGTTGTTCAGATCGCGAGGACACTTGGGTCAGAGCTCTTCAGACATGCATCAGTCTCCGAGGCTACTGTGGTTCACTGACCGCATCTGTCAAATTACACCAACTCTCATCACTTCCACACAAACACCACCAGCACCTCATGTGCTACACGAGCTGGTTCACTCACTAACTGTTACGCTTAAGTTCAAAACCTAGCACAGTCACAAAAAGAATAATCGGCAACATTTCTACAGTAATATCATATAGAAAAATGTTCTGAATGAAATACTATGAAAGCAGATGCTGAACATCTTCACAAGTGCTAGTCTTTCACGTGCATTACTGTACAAGAGAGGACAACCTGGGAATAATTCTGTACTATACTGTAAACATGGAGCATGTAAGATATACGGCAGTCCATTATAAACAGTATTATTCTCGTTTTGTGAAGAACCTTTACGAAAGCAAACACGGTATAACGCTTCTGTTGTTGGTGTTGTTAGGTTGTTGTGTAATGAGTGATAAAGTGAAACTCTTAGCTAGAGTTATGTTAGAATGAGCTGATTTGAGGCATTAATGAAGTGTTTCGGTAGCTTTACTGAATGTGGGGTGAACGGCTGTGTCAAGCTGGACCCTAACCCTAACCCTAACCCTAAGACTGTGTGAAGAACATTGAGAAATGTGTCCTAATGACTAAAGAACTGTAGACAGTCACAGATCACTATATTCCACAGACACACTATTAAATCAGAAAATAGATCTGCTTTTCCTTCTCTCTGCTGCTATTTTAGCTTTTACGTGTGTGTCTGTGATAAACGTTATTGCTCTGGCAAAGTGAAACTTCAGATAGACAGAGACCGTCTTAAAGCTCATTAATGTCTTCCTCTGTTTATTTTATTTGATCTTCTGCATTACAATTATTATTCTATTAACATTCTGTCAGAGAGAGAGAGAGAATCACACACACACACACACACTAATATCATGTGTGAACAGGTCTTACAGGGTGTCTCCAAATGAGTGCTGGTGTGTGTGTGTGTGTGTGATTCTCTCTCTCTCTCTGTATGTGTGTGTGTGTTTGTCTGTGTGTGTGTGTGTGTGTGTATAATTCTCTCTCTCTTTCTGTATGTGTGTGTTTGTCTGTGTGTGTGTGTGTGATAGGCTCTCTCTCTCTGAGTGTGTGTGTGTGTGCGTGTCAGAGTGATGAATGAGGGTATGTATGTGTTGTGAGGATTGTGACAGCAGAAGTGGGAGTTTACGTCTCTTTCTTGAGTGTCTGTGAAAGGTTGTTAAACACACTTTAATCACACACACACACACACACACACACACACACTCACACACACATGTTTTTATGGTTTATGGGGACTCTCCATAGGTGTAATGGTTTTTATACTGTACAGACCATATATTCTATTGTCCTACACCAACCCTACCCCTAAACCTACCCCTCACAGGAGACTTTCTGCATTTTTAGATTTTCAAAAAACTTCATTCTGTGTGATTTATAAGCCTTTTGAATTATGGGGACACTGAAAATGTCCTCATAAATTCCCTTCTCGTTGTAATACCTATGTCATACCCATGTTATTATACAAATTTGTGTCCTCATAAACCACATAAACATGCACACACGCACACACACACACTCACACACACACACACACACCTCCTGTTAAGAGCACTTTATGCATTGCTGTATTTTAGGAGCTGATGAATGATGAAGGATTCTGATGGTTTATCTGTAAAGAGATCAACTCGCTCCTCTGGTCTGGATCTGCAGACACAAAGCAAGCACTCAGAGACCTCAAGCTCTGAAAGAAACACCATCAAACAGAGACACTGTTCATAGCTTTACACGCTGCTAACTCTTCTGTTAACTAACCGTTCTGTCATTGAGTGCACATCAGAAGAAGCATGAAAGCATCATAAAAGCGGCTCATACGACTGACGCTCTTCACATCTTCACCAAGTGTTTACTGATGATAATGTCTTCCTCCAGTGAACCGAATCACTGATTCAGTGAGCCAATGACTGGAACAGGACTGATTCATGATGAGAGATCCCACTCAAAATCAGATTCATTCACGAATCAGACGGGTGTCCAGTGACAGCTGAGCCACACATCTGATGAATAATCAGTTCAGCCGCTCCTCACACGAACAATCAGACCACTTCAGAAGACATGACAGCACTAATGATTCACTTTCCTTTAATAGAAAAGAGCAAGACGTCAATGTCAAAACAGGTTCAGATCAAAGTGAGGCTGAATAAATGCTGAATTCATTCTGTTAGCAGCACCTTTTCCTCCCACAGTTAGTTCAAGAGAATTTACAAATCACAGCACACAAAAACATCGCTAACCTTGTGTGTGTGTGTGTGTGTGTGTGTGTGTGTGTGTCTTGGTGATTTCACGCTGCTTGCATTTAATCAGTAAGTCGTCCACTGTTAAATACTGGGAAGAAAATATCACATGACACGGCAGGGCAAACCGATCGAAAGCAATTAGACAGAGGAGCAATCTGAATTATAGCGGCGCAGAGATACTGGACCCTCAGGCCAACACACACACACACACACACACACACACACACATCACCTCACACGGCCGTAATCACAAGACAATTAAGTTTAAAACCAGAGTGTATCAGGTAATTATTTTATAACAGAGGAAGACGAGGACGAACAGGAGAGAGGAAGGAGTAAAGCCGTCAGAAAACCACCATTATATTCACCACCGCTCATGACATTTACGGTGTCGAAAATCACAGCACAGCCTTCAGTTCCTGCGGAGAGAAATGAAGTCTGTGTGTTTGTGAGGAAAATCACTTGTTTTTTCATTTAGCAGACACTTATATCTAAAGCCATTCAAAGAAAAGACAGGAAAAGAGTGGATGTTACCAGAGCTGCTTCTCCAGATGTCAGTTCTGGAAACCGTCTTTATCGTGCCTTCAGTGTCCTTCAATACACCCGTGCTTTGCTCTTTGGAGAAGTTTCTGTATGATTATGTCGGTAGAAAATGAATATGTAATTGAGTTTATAACTGAAGCAGTGAGCCCATCATATCTGTTCAGAGGATTTTAACGCAGTTTTCACTGCGAGCACAAACACTGCAGAAGAGCCGGATATAAGACATGTGCATCACGTCTGTGATTTATGAGTGCAGAGATGAGAAGAGCCATATTCAGTCTCAGATGATGAAAGAGAGAAGGTACGGACACAATGATGAGAACGCTGATCAGAAATGATGTTCTGGACTGTCGAGAGCGCACAGCAGAGTCTTCAGCGTGAAATCAGCTCCTTCATTAGTGTAGATTGTGTGTGTGTGTGTGTGTATGTGTGTGTGATGTAGATATAGCGTCTCTGTGCTTTTGGCAGCGGTGTTTTATTAAAGAGGCTTTTGTTAACTGGAGAGCTCCTGATAACTGCAGCTCTTCTCCATATCTCTCATCCACATCAGCAGACCCTGTTTCTCCATACAGCAGCCTCAGCCCGTCTCTCTCTTCATCTCTCCTTGACAAGAAAAACCTTCACAAGGGCATACAAGATGAATAGCCTTTCTGCACAGAGGAAAATACCCTTTATTATTAGCCACCGGTTCCTAAAACACACACACACACACACACACACACACACACACACAGAGAGAGAGAGAGAGAGAGAGAGAGAGAGAGAGAGAGAGAGAGAGAGAGAGAGAGAGAGAGAGAGAGAGAGAGAGAGAGAGAGAGAGAGAGAGAGAGAGAGAGAGAGAGAGAGAGAGAGAGAGAGAGAGAGAGAGAGAGAGAGAGAGAGAGAGAGAGAGAGAGAGAGAGAGAGAGAGAGAGAGAGAGAGAGAGAGAGAGAGAGAGAGAGAGAGAGAGAGAGAGAGAGAGAGAGAGAGAGAGAGAGAGAGAGAGAGAGAGAGAGAGAGAGAGAGAGAGAGAGAGAGAGAGAGAGAGAGAGAGAGAGAGAGAGAGAGAGAGAGAGAGAGAGAGAGAGAGAGAGAGAGAGAGAGAGAGAGAGAGAGAGAGAGAGAGAGAGAGAGAGAGAGAGAGAGAGAGAGAGAGAGAGAGAGAGAGAGAGAGAGAGAGAGAGAGAGAGAGAGAGAGAGAGAGAGAGAGAGAGAGAGAGAGAGAGAGAGAGAGAGAGAGAGAGAGAGAGAGAGAGAGAGAGAGAGAGAGAGAGAGAGAGAGAGAGAGAGAGAGAGAGAGAGAGAGAGAGAGAGAGAGAGAGAGAGAGAGAGAGAGAGAGAGAGAGAGAGAGAGAGAGAGAGAGAGAGAGAGAGAGAGAGAGAGAGAGAGAGAGAGAGAGAGAGAGAGAGAGAGAGAGAGAGAGAGAGAGAGAGAGAGAGAGAGAGAGAGAGAGAGAGAGAGAGAGAGAGAGAGAGAGAGAGAGAGAGAGAGAGAGAGAGAGAGAGAGAGAGAGAGAGAGAGAGAGAGAGAGAGAGAGAGAGAGAGAGAGAGAGAGAGAGAGAGAGAGAGAGAGAGAGAGAGAGAGAGAGAGAGAGAGAGAGAGAGAGAGAGAGAGAGAGAGAGAGAGAGAGAGAGAGAGAGAGAGAGAGAGAGAGAGAGAGAGAGAGAGAGAGAGAGAGAGAGAGAGAGAGAGAGAGAGAGAGAGAGAGAGAGAGAGAGAGAGAGAGAGAGAGAGAGAGAGAGAGAGAGAGAGAGAGAGAGAGAGAGAGAGAGAGAGAGAGAGAGAGAGAGAGAGAGAGAG